CGAAGAAAATGTGAAATCTAAGTCCGAATTCTTGCCTATGCGACGGCATAATGAAAATTAGGCCACATGACTCATCATATGGAGCGATGCGGAGTGAATATAAAAAAAAGTACACGCGCAGATAAAACATTTGTAGATCTGCTAAGAGATTAGCTCCAGGTCGGAGCATTTAATGCAATTTTAAATTAGATTAAAAAGAACCAATTGTTTTTTATGAAGTTTAAGTGAATACAGCTTACGCAACTCTGGTGCTTTGAAAATGGAGTCCCCTTAAGTAAAGGCGCAAAAAATTGCAATTAATTACCAAGAGATCGACACTTGGATTAAAATAAAACAATGAGCAAGCGCTGGGCTGTATTCTCTCTTGGCCACCATGACGTCACCCTACATGTCACTTTGATCCCACCCACTCTAGCATTTTTGTTGAACGCACTCTGATTACCACAATAAAATAACTACTTGTTGAATAAAAGTGAGTAATCTTGAGTCAAAAAATACCGCCAATTGTTGTTAATAATGATAATAATAAAATGATAACATTATTAAAGTCAATTTAAAGTAGCATATTTATTAAGTCCATTTGGCAAACAATTATAAATCACTTGGTGTTCGCATTACGACTAGGATTCGTACTTGGAGATTTTAGTTTTCAAATACACTCCATACCAAATGCCTTGGCGCATGCGAATAGAGACTTAAATTCTATAAGAGTTCCGTGGAATCGCATAGCTAGAAATCCAGCTCTGAGGTTGCAGGAAATTGGCAACTGTCCATATTCACTCATAACCTCTGCATAAGCTTTAACTTTCAACTAAGCACGATTGCACGTATACAGTCATGGAAACGCATAAAAACTACACTTTGCTAAAAATCGATTCAGCAAAGTTGTTCGCGTCTGAAATCCAAAGGGACTAAAACGCCAAAAATCACGCAGCTAAGCGACTTAGACGTGACGTACACCAAGACGCATTACACCGCGCTAATACGCTTCAATTGCCCAAAGCAAGAAGCAATCGATAAATTGCAAGACAAAGAGGGTGTCGCATTAGAAAGATTTTCTCGATATTATAAACAATAATGATCGACTGGTGTTAGAAATAAAAGTGCAAGGCTTTCCATTCTAAATTAACCAATCGCAGAAGGGTTTCCTGAAATCTGGCGAATTCATTGTAGTAGGTCTTTGCCCCCGTTCACAAACAAGATGCAAAATTAATTTTAGTTCGCACGCGTATAATGATTCAAAAAAAATTAAGTGGGCTTTCAAGAAGGAAGATTTGAAATTACTGCCACCCATTGAATAGACCTGATCCATGTAGCTGGATACCAGGAGAACGAGCAAAAACAACACATTGTAAAAAAAGAGGATGATTTAGTGGTTACACAACCCACACATTCCCTTTGCTATAGAGCGTTTAAGGCATCAATTATCGCTTCGATACTGGCTGAAATTTGAGTAAGTACATGCACCAACCATTTGTAAGCCAAGATAATAGCTAATCGATCTTAACACTTCACAAACTTTTGAATATTTTATCGATTTTGATTACTGGCACTTTTGCCTATGAAGTGATTGTAACGAGATGGCACAGCCAACCACCTAGTTTAATCAACTAATAAATTCTCTACATCGCAGCTGGAACTCAAGACTCAACATCCTAAAATACGCTTATTTTAGGATATTAGGACGTAACGCAGCACAAATGCCAATAAAATAGTGGATAGCCAAATAAATCTAGGGTTAAAATATGAAAGAAAACAACGAACACTCTAGTTTTGCTTTCTGCATTTACTTGCCTTCACAACCTATCGGGGTAGCTATTATTCTCTTAAAATATTTATTATTTATAACAAATGACAGGCGTCTTGATAGTTACATTAGCCCTTTAGTTGACTTCGGGCTTCACAGAGGGGAGGAAGAACATCAAATGAGAAGAATTCGGGAGGGGGAATAGAAGAGTGATTCACAGATGCAAAAGAAACAGACAGACACAAAGGTAGAGAAAAGGTAAGATGAGTACTGTGAAAGGGGTCGAATATGACATACAGTGGGGATGATGGCAGTTTGAAGTGAGAAGTCAACTGCCGGTTAATAGACTTTTTTGCCGTATGATTATACGTTGCCCAGGGTGCACCAAGAGGAGGTAAGTCTATCCCACACCCCTCTCTTAAAATATAGAATATGGGATTTTGTTAAGCTTTCCTGCCCGAGGGGGAGGAGGGGGGACAAATAGCGGTCTTTTCGATTTGTCGCAGTTATATCTTGCAGTTTAGTCCTATTTTTAACTCATCCTTCTACGTAGGCGTGCCTTCCACTCTTTCCTAATATAGGTACCCATGTGATACCCTTCAACTCCTTCAAATTCCCTTGGTGGGGAGGAGAGGGGTGGGCGGGGGGTGGGGGGAGCGTAAAGCTTGCAAGGGCTTCTCCTTCTTCTATTCCGCTGCTTAAGGTAGGTAGAGATAAAATCCCCTAAACGAGTAATAACGTTACCGTCGTATTACGCATTCAATGCTCAGACATTTAATGTCGATGGTGAACATCATGCGAATTGCTTTAATCACTTCCCAACGACGTTCACCAATTTATACGACTTTGAGGGCAAAAGTTATTGCAAACAAATCGACGACTTCCTATTATTACGGTAAATGTACCACAGATCATTTCGACCTACACTAACTAAAAGGCCAATAATATTCGTTCAAATGACAAATTTAAGAGATAAAAGAAAGTGAACATAAAATAGAGCATAAAGTTAGTCAGGGAAGAATATCACAATGAAATTTCTAATTCGGCGCTGAAGATATTTAAACACGCCTCTCGTTTGAATCATATTTGCAACGCAGACAAGATTTGTAATTTTGTAAGAATTGATAGGCCAAATATGAGCCGTCTAAGCCGACTCTTCATACGAGAAACCTTAGATTTTTTAAATTTCAATATCGAAATACAGATATTTCCATTAACTGATGAGACTTAATGACCAACGAACGGCAGTTAACGGAGACATCTGTTAAGAGGGTGAGTATGAGACCATTTGAAAAAAACACCAGAACTTCAATACAGCGATGAAACTAAATAACACATAACAACATGAAGGTAAAATAAAGTGCAAATGAGCTGAAGAAGTTAAAGTCCAAGCCAAACGGGGCTTTAATTCTCGACTTACTCAAAAATTCTAAGATATTTAGATCAGCTCTTTAGTATAAACACTCCTGATGTTTAAGAATTATAATAATTTTTCTATAATAATGGGATAAATATAGTTAGATGAATTTGATGCGAATTTGGCTTCATCCTTAATTAAATCAGGACAAATTAAATCAAGCCAATTTCCGTTGACAATGATTGGTGGGAAAAAAAGTTATTAAGAGTTTACGAAGTAAATAAGAAATTTTAAATCTTCCCCTTTAGTAGGAAAGATATATCCACCTGGACAAATTTTGACAAATACTGCACATCTTCCCACTAGAAGTACTTTGCGCTAAAGACACTCGATTATCAATTAAATAAAATCGATATTTCAAGTTATGATCTTCAATAAATTCTAGTGAACTCTATTAAGGTCAAAATAACCCAGCTAAAATGTATCAGAGAGCAAACCTATAAAATCGATTTACTGGCCGATCAGGTCAGGACAATAGGAGCATGAGCCACCATTCATAAAACCAGAATTTGGAAAAATTTTTATGATATTTGCTTTAATAGACACATTCAAAGACACGGAGGAAAGAATGAGAGTGAGTGAATTAAGATAATCCCAATTTGCCTGAACTCCATATTCATCAGGCTAATTGCTTTTTCAGGCTGGAGTTCATTCAGACTTAGCATTTCTCTTAAATTCTAGAGTCATTAGGAGAAAACATCAGGAAAAGAATTTTCAATCTCGATTGAGCCTAATAACCACCAATGGATGACATAATTACACTCGATTTCTTAGCACATTTCTTTTCATGCAATCTTTATGGCATCTAATATAGTGGAAAAGCGAATCCCCCATTAGATTAGATTTTAATCCAGAATGCAGACAATCTGACCATAAATTTAAAATAACACAGATAGAATGGAAGGTTCGTTCGGTCGCATAATTCGCAATTCGTTAATTGATGGTCGAGTATAGATATCTCCCCCCTAAGCGAACATTGGTAAACGCGAATTAGTTATCATTTACCCTAAGTGCAAATTCAATCAAAGTCAATCACTGCAATTAGATTAAAAGCACTAAAGGCAACGCTTCTAAATGAGGCCATAGCGCGAACGAGGTCATGTCCTCGATTGGAGACAATAAAAGCGCAAGCAAAACCCAACATGAATTTGTGTACCAAGAAGTGACCTATCTGCACTCATGAGGGCACAACTACCAAAAATCCAACAAGTAACAGACTCAACCAGATCGAGGTGAAATTACTAGCCGGAGACCAGACAACCATCCCTAATTGATGCATACTTAGCAATAACTATTACTATAAAGAAACATTTCTGAATTTCGTAATTTGAAATTGCCTCAGTAGAGTAAATTTAAAAGTTAGACCAAGTTGGGCTCAGAGATATCTCATTACAAACAAATTAAAAGGATACGACAACATATCTCAGAGTTCTAGAAAAAGATATAAAAGAAAGCAAGCAGAAATGGGAAAATAAGAATTTGAAACTGATAAAAGGTCCAAATTACGAATCATTAAGTCGAATTAACTGGTTCGCTTGGCTTATTCGATGACGCAGCAACTAACTATGGATTCGCCAACATGTACTTAAGAGTTCAAATCAAAATAGTGCTTCTAACTAGTACTAATAATTATATCGTACTGTGTAACCGTTTCTAAATATAGTTGCAGCATGAAACAGGACATGTCCAGAAATTGGACCAACAGACGGAGAGGGCTAACACCTAAGAAATACAATAAGTAAGGAGTGACGCAGCTAAGCCCAAGACGCGAAACTAATTTTGTCCGAATAGAACGACAATAGAACTAATTGGTTTGAATTACTATCAAATTAAAACTCACATTGGTTCCAGAGTTCTCACGTAGGCTTCTAGTGCACTCGTATCAACTTTTCCCATTTTCACGGTGGTTCGTTCGAAGAAACTGTCATAAGCAAGGAGGTTATTATCATTACGGTCAAGCCAGGCCAATCCAACACCAGTGAATACATCATGCTTTTTGCCATTTAGTCTACATATAGAGATTGTGGTTAAAATCTCATTCGAATTACTTGAAGAGAGTGGAAAGGGCATCTTCTGCATGCTTTGGTTTGCCAATTATTTTTCCTTCCAGGGATATAACCGTATCCGCGGTGATAATCAAATCTGCTGGCTAAAAAGTGGAGACAAATGAACGAGAAGATTATTTCCACACGTACATATCTGAGCCTTTTGATGGTACCTTCCGATTTTAGCTTCGCTAATGCTTCAACAAAAGATGAAACTGAAGGAAAGTGTTTCGAGTCGACGTTTTCACTCACTTTTGGATCAATAATGGAGAATTGAAGACTCTAAAATAGGACCATGAGGGAGTATTTAGAATACTAGGGAAGTCGAAAACGTACACACTGCTTAAGGATAAGCTCTCGAACAACGGAGGAACTGCCTAGGACTACCAGAAGGTCACGAAATTGAGGATGAATCGAAGAAAACATCAGTGCACCCACAATCCCCTTGAATTAACTAAAAATTGAGAAAAGATGATAATTGATTCAGCCTAAACCACTGTCGCAAAAGAAAAAATTGCACTCAGATAAAAAGTATTCGGATTTATTATTGAAACGAAATATTTAAAATCTGCGCGAGAAAAGGAAACTCCCTTTGACATGACCGAACATGAACTTTCCTTTAAAGAAATTCCACAGGACGGCATGACTCATAAAAAAGAGGTGATGAGACACGAAGTAAATACATGAAAAAATGGAGATTTAAATTCCATTCAGGACGACCAACGTTAGAAAATTAGTTCAACTCGAATGCCAAAAAAACTGAAGATATTGTAAGCAAGAATAGAAATAAAATAAAGGCACATAGACCCATGATTTCAAAAAATACGTCATCGTGAAATATGCACCGGCTCCATGTTTAAAAGCAAAAAAATCGTGGTAAAATAGTACTTTTAATTTATAATGGTAAGCAATGTCATCTGAAAGATTAATTTTATTACTAACCATGAGGGAATAATTCACAAAACAAAATAAAATCTAACTGGGAAGTACTTAATAACTGTCAATGACGGCTATAATACTTATTCAAAAAAAGCAGTAAGCAATTTCATTTATTCTAATTTTCAAAATAGGTTAGATAAGAAGGAAATATAAAAATCTAAACCGCGCACATTGAAAGAAAACTAAAAGAGCAAATCGGAATCTAGGTATTTTGAATTTGCTGAGCTATAATATACATGACAAGTTTACCTTAAATCGAGAAAGGTACCCTGAAAAAGTATAAAAAACAAGAAAACTTTCAAAGTGACGAACTTGGTTTACAAGGCTAATGATGGTACATTAAAAGAATGAAATAAAAGAAAATCAATGAAATGGGTATTATATTTTTAATTTACAAATATAGTAAATTGATAAAAGTGTCTTTTTATAATCGATTGAATTTAATTAGTCACATATCGTATGGTTAAAATATGTTTTAATGGAAACATAATTTGCCTACTTGTACTGATTTTAAAACCCCATTAATTGATTTAAGGAAAGCAAAGGCATTTAAATACGTATCCTTTTGAAGTTGCTATATTATTTATAAAGTTTTATTCACCGCCTCAACTTCATGCTAGAGTTGATTTTTCACTTTTCTTAGATTTCAATCCGGTTATTTCGGTCCATTTCTATTGCATTGGAGCTAATAAAGCAAACTCCCTTTATTACTAATGGGAATACACATGCTTTTACATGTGCTGCCTATGTGAAATACGCTATCCTCTTAGGGAACTAATATATACCTTGAAAGTCCAGTCACAAGCATTCTGTTCGCAATATTTGTCCGAATTATTACTCTATTGATTCTTCTAGCATTTTTTCAGGAAACATATTCAACTTGAGCTTCACTGTTTTTATTTCGAAACCCTTCAATGAATGGATATAGGTAAGCTATACCGTGATCAATTATATCTATCTGACCGGATCGTTGGATAGCTCTTTAACATTTATACCACAGTAGATGTAGTAACTTATCCCATAGCATTCTATTTAAAATTTATCCTTTCATTATTAAAGCAAAAGAATGAGGCAATACAACTGCACGTATGATAAAATTACAGGAGAGCATTGACAAATCCAGGAAGATCTTGAATGCCAAGAAGTCACATTTCCGCAACATTTCAAACATAATCGACGAGGATAGAAAAGCAATGCTTTACAACCATGGATTTTGATCATACAAACTCCTCTACGGTGCAGAAACCTTACTCTTCAAATCTGGAAGATAGAGATAAGCGGTATCGGGACCTGACCCAAGCTTCGAATAAAGTGGTAGGGTGGGGAGAGGAAACCGACAGGCGACTATTATTGGTTCCCCTCGTAATTCAGCGATGAGTTTTTCTTCCAATGGCTTCATCTGAAATAGTAAATATAGAACAACTAAGCAACATGTTAGGTCAGTCAGTTGCATATAAGGGAAACATTTACCAGAATTCTTAGCCAAAAGAAATGCATTAACTAAAACAAAATCATGTATATTTAAAAGAAATTACAACAAAGCATTATAGTGTTTTAAATAAAATAACCGCAATTG